TATGTTTTGACTTAACCGTATAAAATTATTCCTTCCCCAAACGGTGCTGAAGAGATATTGGCAGTTGAAACTCCAATACTGACAAATCTAAAGTCGAAATGCCATAAGAATAATTTAAGAATATTTTCAGCCTAAATTCGACAGAAAAATAAGAATATTCAGCTTGGGACGGAAAAACAACATTCTTACAAAAAAAAAAAACAAAAAAGAGTGTAGCGCCTTTGTGGCAGACGTAATTTCACCCCGGTTAGGACACTGAACCAGAATTTGGTTTATCCTTTGGCGCAGGCTACATTTGTGCGTGAAATTTGCAATCGAAGTAAATCAGGAGATTCGAAGGTACAATGATTGAGTCTCTTATGTATTGACATCCGTTCAGTTAAAATTCCAATCATCAAGATTTTTCTTGAACATCCGACATTGAGAAGCATCTGTTTTAGCTATTTTGTCTAAATTAAGGAGGCCTATGAAAATTGAGCCTCTTCCATGGAAAACTCAGTGGGAAGGATCGAAATAGGCTGATTAGACTAGAGAAAAGCCGTCTCGACCTTTCTACCCAAGTTTGACGGTGTTATTTGGCCAAAAAGCACTGAAGAAAATTGTTTATCGTATGCTCTCACTTTTGGAGAATTCTAGTGAAGACTCCCTATTTTATTGGCCATATCTAGCTCAGTGTAGTTTACGCTGGATTGTCACCAGCAAAGTTAAGGGAGGATTCTAAGGCCTAGAACATCTGAAGATCGTCTCCGGGACAAACGTTGATCTTCACATACGACGGACTAAACTAATAAATCAAAAATATGTATGATGATGCATAGCCAGCTTCGCTCGGGAGAAAATTTATTTAGAGCTGGCTAAAATTGCTTTTCGGTCTGATTCAGTTGAAAATTAGGTTAGAGTTTCATGAGAAGTTTGACGTTTGGCCTCATTCTAAGTTGCTCTTACCCTCATTGTCGGTCGTAGTTTCGTTTGGCTGCAAATTTCTTGGATTGAGGTAGATCAACAGGGAGAGTATACAGAGAAAAAACAGGAAAATCAACATGAACTGCCTCCTTATTCGCATACTTGGTAACATTGTTTTGTTACGGTGGTCTTAATTACGGGTAGGGGTGATAACATTAATAAAATGATCGCAGTTTCATGCTTCATGGACAAGTGGCAGTTGCCATAGAAAATCTCTTGACAAGCGATTGACAGAGCTGTAAAGAACACCATCGTAAAAACAAGGTTCTTGTGAATTGTCTGTTAATTCTTCCTTACTTTTTTCATTTTTTTAGTTTGTTTTGTGTAAAGTAGTTAAATCAGTTTTTTAAAATACACATCCAGTGACATCCGAAATTTATTGTTTCGTTCAGGAATGAAAATCAATCAGAATCGACTCAATCCAAGATTCAAAATGAAATATTTACTACTGTATCTGTACGCATATACGTTCTCTCGAGTTCTAGGCATACAAACAGCGCATATACGGCAAACGATATGTATGGATTATTATAGGCTGGTACGAGGACAAGTGGTGGGAGACCAAGCTAAATGAAGATCACATCACGTGCACTACACGTGAGATGGGTGAAGCGGTGGAACGGATATTTGGATACTGATCACATGAAACTCAACGAGGACGATGCCACTTCAAAGCACAAAACAGTATCTGGATGAGTGAGAAATCTTGTTCTGTTAGACTAGTTACGGGAACAGTGATTTTAAGAAATTCAAAGCCTCACGTTTTATTCCTGATATCACCAATTACCTTTTTACATGAGCATATTGCGAAATATGAGGGGAGGGGGGGGGGGCACTGAAGGGAAAAAAAAGTACAATGAAGTTTTCCGGGGTGTCTATTTTTAGAGAATAGGCGAGAAAACTTAAAATTGAATGTCTTCCTCATCCTCGAATCTAAAGCTCTCTAATATTATAAGGAGAAATTTCATGCTGATCACCCTTAGGGCTTAACAAGTTTAGCCCCCAAAGGAGACCGATATAATCTGCGAGTGGCTTTGGGTGTATTTTTATATCCCCTAACGGAGATCACACTGTGCCAGCGTTCGGTTTTGTTTCAATGAGATGATAAACCCATGCTCTTTTGCCCTATGCGGTGCCTTTATTTATTTACTTAGGTTCGCTAATTGTTGGCTGGGCCACCGCAACGGCACGTGGCGCCAGTTACTTAGAGCCCGTAACAGTTTCCTCCCCACCCCCCGCAAGAGAGATAGACCACATCACACTTTACGACCGGTACGTGGGTTCTTTAGACTTCTAATGTCCCACGGAATGGGTCTAGCCATGTTGATGAAGAAGTTGTGGACTGGGACCTTGGAGAGCTAGACCAATGGAAATTAAGCTTAGTTGATCTTAGTTAGCTGGTCACTTTTAAGTCTCCTCACTTTTCTTTAAAATAATTCATGATTCTTTCGAATTCTTGGTCTCTTTCAGAAGTTCCTCGCAACATGCTGCAGACTGCAAAAAAGTTTCAGAGTTAATTTAATGTAGCTTGTAATTTGTGAAGAATTGCAAACCGTTAATAAAAAAAGAAAACGTAAAAGCGTCAGTCATTTTGTCCTCTCCTTCCATGACAAGAATTTTAAGCGACGGTTGAACATTTCTCTCCTGACCTTACTAAATGTCGGTTGACGTAAGTGGTTAATTTCGCAGAGATGATTTTAATTCTGTAGGAAAACAATACTTCCTTGTGACTTCTCCCTGAGTAGACTTTTTGTTTGCCACTATTCTCTTGATCTTCGTATGGCTATGGCCCAAGTTACCTGTTAAGGGTAGTTAATAGCGCCAAACTGTGGTCGGCTCCTGACTGTTGACAAAATTCATAACAATAATCGATTTTTCTTCGGCTACCGCCGTCATTTTTGGTTACGGGTCTCTGTGCAAAGGATCAACGATAATTCCGGAGAAGCTCACTTTAGGTGCACACAATTCCTTGACAAAAGCATTATGTTCAAATTTTGCATAACTCGACGTAACCGCGTTGTAAAAGTTTGGCATCTTTTCACAATGTTGCAAGAGCAGGAAATTAAATTATTAAAAATTCCGAGTGACGTGATTAAGACTAGCGAAAAAAAAACCACTTATGGTCATGACAGGAAGCACTCGAAATTTTTCAAAAGTGAATTAAAGTTATACAGTATTCTGCACAATGCAGACTTAAAAACCGATAAAAGAAAAGAAACTTCGTATGGGACGTTCTAGAAGGTCATCTTTGGTCTCCAAACCAAAAACTCTTGGTTTTGAGAGCTTGTTTTGGAATGTCGCTTATTTTTAATTATAAGGTTATGACAAATGAACATGTCATAGAGGCATTCAAAAGACCAACAGACCATGTTTACAAAGCTAATGACAACAGAGTGCTAAAGGAATGTTTGCATAAGGGACAGATTAAAACTGACACATTGTCTGCTCTGCAAGTTTCAGTAGCTTCGAGAGAAAAATGATAGCAGATTATTGCTTGCTTGTCTGCTAGAGAAAAAACTGTCCTCTACTGAAAACCTGTACCTGGAAAGTGAGGGTCTCTCTTTGCCTTTAAGTTCTTAGAACAAGTCAAAGTGAAAACAAGAAGTCTACAAGTGACGTTTCCGTAATGATGAGGTTTAAAACGTTCCAAATTGTTATAATCTACATCGTTTCGATTTGGAGCTGCACTCCACGTAGAGGTAAGTTGCCACAAATCGTAGAATGTAAAATCGCGAAATGTATTAGGACTGATTCTTTTCTTGGTGTCCTTAAATTGAGATGATATCGACGTTGGTCCTCCAAGTTAATAACATCCTTTGGCTCCTTATTTCTTGACATATCCAACTAATTTTTTCATGTGCTTAGTAAAGTTTTGTCTTGTGTTCCAAGCGCACGAAAAGCTTAGAAAATTATGTGAATAATTGAGTAATTTGCAAACGACGGGATTTTTCTAACATGCATATTTTGTCTCTCACCCTACTGAATTTATTTCATATACAACACGCACCTTCGTCAAACAGCTTACAATTACAACTAGATTAACTTTGTTTGCTTAGCCTCTGTAAATTTAGTTTCTTACCTATAACGTTATGGCTTAGAAAAGTTATTTTTAAGTCATTTTAATAAACTGTGGCATAGTTTCTCACAGACGGTGTGTAAGATACCCTAATTATCACAAAAAACATGAGACTTCCTTATACAACTTACAACGCTGCAGTCACACTGCGAACATTTGGTTTATTGACTTTTGGTGGTTGCTCGAGGCAAACAAACATCTTTTGAATTCTCACAGTTCCTTACGTTTTCCTCGTATAATTTATCATTTTTCCTCTGCTTCTCTAATATCAATCACAATTGCCGCAATATTCTCTATTTTGTAAGTTCCTTGTTAAACACTTCCTCAAGATCTCTAAAAGAAACAACATTTCTTAGAGTAAACTTCTGTCCAATTTACTGTCGATTGGAATGTGCTCACACCATCTATTAGGCTGCTCAGATAACGTATACAACGTCAAAAGATAATAATATCGGACTATTATGGCTCTTGATAACGAGTTGTGCAAAGCTGGGTTAAGGTAACCCAGGGTTAGTGCGAGATTTTAATTCAGATTTGAAAGCTTAAAAATTATTTCAGTTTTAATTCGTTTTGTCTGCGATGGTGATTGAAAGCCCTAAAAATAACAGAGACAATTAGCCGAGAAAATGCTTTAGAACACAAGAAAAAGAAACCCGGGTTAAATTTAACCCTGGGTTAAGCGCTAATCAGCCTTCGAACAACTGGGCCCAGCACTTTTGAGCACTGTGCATGACAAAACTGATCACAAAGAGTAATTCACTAATCCACTTCGTTTTCAACATAGTTGATTAATTGATTATAAACAAATAGATATATAAGAAAGAATTTATTAAATGAATAAACGAAATAAATATTGGTTATTTGCGCAGCCTTCGTTGGTGGTTTAAAAAATCTAACCATTGGTGCGTACGCTCCCCTGACGGGACCCTGCTGGGGAGGAGGATTTGCTGTGAAGAATGCGATGGAATTGGCCTTGAGTCAAGTGAACGAACGAATAGACATCCTACCAGAATATCAACTGCATATGGTACTGAACGACACCAAGGTATACACAGTATCACAGGAATCCCACTTTGCAACTACCCCGCATTGGCTGGGTGAGACTGGGCCGGCATTGTCGCACTGCCCTGTGGGACTGTTTTAGGGGACAAATTCTACCCCAGTTTCCTGTGCAACATCGTTACGGCGAAGAAAATAAAAAAGCCCCTTAACAGTCCCATGGTGCACTTCGAGAAACACCGACCCAGTCTCTAACTGGCCTAGTAACGACCACTTTTTTCCGGCCCAAACGAAAGTTCAGTCAATTCGTTGTTTGACAACCTCGTTAATACAATTACCAGAGTTTGATTCCCAGATGTGAACTCAAATCTTTGTTTGGACTTTTTTCCTTTCCCTCAGGGAAAATAAGCTTATGTTTCCGTGTAGCTTTATATGGCTTTAAATACTGACCAGTAAAAGGGACTGAGCACTTATGGAGAAATGGGAGTGAAATTAGTGCACCGTTGGCCTCAGCTCAGCTGTGTTGCTCAGATGATGGCTATTTCAAGTCACCGACATAAAATATGGACGGCTTAACTTTTACCTTAAGTGATTTGACTCCAGATGTTTCAGCTAGGGTGGGTGGAGAGATTCTTCCAAATCTATTAGGCGTTTTCACTTCAAAGATCCCAAGCCGTAAGCCGACTTAAAAAGACCATTCTTTCAAAGAATGACGAGTGCCGGAAAAAACTGACCTCAAGGCTAATGCCCGTTGATTTTTGGCATTGTTTGATACATATCATTTTCCACGCCCATTACTCACCAAGTATTTGTTGTACTTTTAGAGAATGTTCAAAAGGCACCGCCAGTTGATAAGTTAAAGAAGGAGTCGTTTTGGGAATAATCACAAATGTGTGCAAATGGGGGGACATTAAACACAACCCCATATCTGAGTTTTTGTCAGTAAGTTGAGCACATGAACTACGGCTCCATTTCGTTTGATCGCTTTAAATCAATGTATTTCCATTTCCTTTATTACATAGTGTGATCCTGGAGTTGGAATGCACATTTTATACGATCATATTTACAACGAACCAACAAAATTAATGCTTTTAGGAGCGGCATTTTCACCAGTCTCCCAACCGATAGCTGACACGTCGAAGTACTGGAACCTTCTGCAGGTAAGTGTCGTAGCTAAGGCTTAGCCCTCTATTGATGTCATCGAATCATAGTCGAAATAAAAAAATAAAAAAAAGTCTCAGAAAAATTATCGATCGTATTTTAAGGTATCAGCCACCCTTCAGGACAGTCCGCGCGCGGATCGCTGTAGCGTTAGTTGTTTTTATAAAAACCCCTATAAACCATATATTTTTAAAAGCTTAATAATTCCAGATTTTGGATTTGAACTAACAAAAACGAGTTACTTAAATGTGTTTCGAAATTGGAGCGCTTTGTGTAAAAGTACACGTCTCTATAAATCATGTTCCATTCCCGCCGGAAATAAACGGAAGAAAACAGTTAACACCGCATTCGCTTCTCAACACGTTCCACTAAAAAACCGTGTCTCAGATTTTTGACAAGTGCGTTTGTTTTTCTTTTATTAGCAAATGAAGTTGGGGAAGGCAATTAGTCAACACTCTCTGTGGAAAAAAAGCTCTAGCTTTAAAATGAAAAGGAGTATTAAAATTCGCAGACACGGTTCTGTAGAAGAGATATAGGGCATCACTCTGGCCAAATTTTAGCCAAATTGATTGAAAGGCTGCCGACTTGGAGTTCAAAACGTACGAGTCGATCAGCAAAAGTTGCGTTCGGAGATAAAATAGAAAATACATTTTTGGCGGCATCCTACCTGGAATGAGATTATAACACCTAAATGTTTATTCTGATTGATATCAGAGAGGGATCAATTTTCTCTAACAATAGGACTTTGACAGGTAACATGTAACAGGAACAAACTTTTTATTGCTATCAACATCTTCAAGTGAACAGTTTAATTCTCCGTTGGAAAACTTCCACTCTTTTACACCACGAGAAGCACGGTTTAATTCTTTCTCGATCGCCAGGCCAAGGAAACTAAAAAACTTTGAAGCCGCCGAATGCCCACCACCGATTGCTCGAAGGCCAAGAACTGAGGCCCGGTTTATTGCAAACGCTCTGCTCTTCTCGGAAGAATTAAAAACAGAATTTGTCTTGTGCGACGGCCAGCTTTCATTCTCGCACTGGATTCTCCAGGTAGAACCAAGTCCATGCTTAGTCGCTACATTTTCCATGACTTGGACTCTTCCCTGGCAAAATCGACAAGATACAGACTCGTCCAGTTTCTCAAGCAGCTTTTCGCTCAATACGATAGCTCGACCGCTTATTGTTTTCCACGTTCCATCAGTAGATGGGGTCGATGAGCTTAATTGGCTTTCTTCATCTGGTTCCTTAAGCTGGATTTTGGAGCGGCTTGCACTCTCAGCAACTGCAGCATTTTCGCTTTTCTGAATATCCAACTCTTCGAGCCACTTCTCTTGCTGATAAAATGAGCCTTTGTCGCTCTCTGCCAATTTTGCGGCCCATTCTTTGTCAAACTCGCTCTTCGATTTCTTTTTCGCTCTCGGTTTCGATGACGAAAACGGACACGACCTTTTCTTTTTTTTTTGGCGGCATTTTCACCGAAGCAAACGCTAAATATCCACGGAGAATACTAAAGGCGTTTTGTGTCGAAGCACGCACTCGGTATCACGTAACTAGTTCACAGGCAAGTTAATTGATATATGACACGGGTATGACAGAACTTGTTAACGATCAATTAAGATAATTAACGAGAAAAAATCTTTTACCCCCGATATCTTTCGACAGAAATAATATTTTCTTCTGATTTTTTTTTTAAAAGAAAGCTCTCAAGCATATCTATTTGAAAACGTTGAAATCTCAAATATGGAAAAATGGCAATTTTAAGGGTGGCTGATACCTTAAGTCTGCCGTTTTAATCCAACAATACGGTAGTTTCAATTGGACAGTGAATTGCTACGAGTAGAGCTTATACAGAAAATGTGTTTAGAACCCTGGGGGTACTCAACGAAAACACAACAACAACAAAAACTACCCCTTTCGTATACCTTCTACTGAAAAAAGGTACCCCTTTTACATTCTTAGTTTAGAACAATGCATCTTTTTTAACTGCTGTAGATGCACCGTCTTTTTAATATGAGTGAGTCACTAATAAATCAGAAAGTATTCTTGTCTGTTAGTCATATCCATAAAAGGCGTCTGTTATTCTGTTAGTCCTTTTTGATCCTTTCAGAGATCGAAATGACAGATTTCCCTACACTTTCGTATACTCCAACTAATGAAATGCCTATTCTTTCATATACCACCGTTGCAAATGGACGCAACATAGTTGGCCAGAAGCCTGAAAAAGGTACCCCTCTCAGACGGAGCCTCCCATTATAGCGGGACAGTGTCCCCCCCTGGGGGTTTAGATACAAAACTTCCCTTGGTTGCCCTGCTCTCGAACTCATAGGTTTTTCTTTACTGAATGGATTGGTTTCTTGTAATTTTTCATGATGGTCAACCTTCTATCATTCTTTTCTTCACTAATCACTAGGTGTCCTATGCGTCAACATCCCCAGTTTTAAAAGACAGAGAATTGTATCCTCGCTTTTTCCGCACCATTTCGTCGGACTTAGCGTTTAACCCTGCAAGAGCAGCTTTGTTGAAAAAATACGGATGGAAAAGAGTCGCCACACTGCATCAGAACGAACCATCACGAATATTCTCGCAGGTCAGTATGGATGTATATCTTTATCCTCCAACTAAACCATCATGCATGTTCGTCCAACA